ATGCTGTAAAATGTATTATATCTTCAATTTACACACGGCATCTATTGCACGTCTGTCCGTCCTGGGAGAGGGATCCCTCCTCGGTTTCTCCCATTTTGTCCCTTTAAACTGTGGGTTTTCTCTGGAAGTTTTTCCTTGTACGATGTGAGGGTCTAAGGACAGAGGGTGTCGTTTTTTCTCATACTGATATTCTGAACAATCTGTGCTGTTGTATTAGCTGTAAAGTGTCTCTACTGTAGGCTATTTTTATTATATGTACAGCACTTTGGCTCAACCAAAAATCGTTTATTAATGTGCTATAAAACTTGATTTGATTTGATATAACACACTATACAGGAAATTGAAAACCACAAAACAATAATAGGGCAAAACTCAATGCCAAAAATAGCTTCAGACTTTAGGTATATAACTCACTATAAATACACTTGCAATAATTCAGTTAAGCAATAATTGTAGTGTGCGTGCGTGCGTGCGTGCGTGCGTGTGTGTTGACCTACCAAGACAAAAAGCCAGGCAGGTATAAGCATGATGACAGCTGCGGCACTGGTATAAAACTGCAGCTCCGGAGGGCTGAAATAAGTCAGAATTTTTATTCTAAATGTGTCAAGAAAAAATTATTTCACTGCTGGAAATAGGAGGGTTCACATATTTTTACCTGAACTTGTATCCGTCTCCACTTAGCAGCTTTTTGGAGAATACGTTCTGCAAACTGAAATTGGAGAAACATAAGGCATATAAAGCATCCCACTGCTGTGGGATGGTTCTGTTGAGTGCTGCATTACCAGTCCATGATGTTGGTGGAGAGCGCCGCAGAGAAGCCAATCATGTTGAAGCTCATCTCCGTGGCTGTGCAGAGAGCCAGGCCCGCCATGATGGGGAACAGGGACAGGTTCACCCACAGTCCTAAGGAACAGAGGCGTTGGACACAAAGAAATGAGTCAACAGCTTCTCCAAAGACACAAACCATTCAGCTGCAGTCTAACTGGAAGAACCAGATTCAATGCTGTGTTACAACACAAATGTTGATGAAAGTAATTGATGGAAGTGATGTAATAAAAGGTGTTTTACTCCACTCTGTGAACAATGTCGTTTTACTGAATTACATCAAGTCTCAGTCCAACAAGAATAAGAGATTATATATCATTTAAACCTAGTGAAATCTTTAATTTTGAACTCCTTATCTCATGCCTCATGACCATGTTCGAACATAAGGATGCTCATAAGTGTACGTGGTACCAGAGCACCCTAGGCAGAAGGTCCATGATCGATTTTGTTATCGTATCATCGGACCTGAGGCCGTATGTTTTGGACACTCGGGTAAAGAGAGGGGTGGAGTTGTCAACTGATCACCATCTGGTGGTGAGTTGGGTCGAGTGGCAGAGGAAGCCTCTGGATAGACCTGGTAAGCCCAAACGTGTAGTTCGGGTGAACTGGGAACGTCTGGAGGAGGCCCAAGTTCAGGAGGCCTTCAACTCACACCTCCGGCGGAGCTTTTCGGGCATTCCTGTGGAGGTTGGGGACATTGAACCAGAGTGGTCAGTGTTCAAAGCCTCTATTGCCGAAGCCGCGGCGGGGAGCTGTGGTCTCAAGGTCCTAGGTGCCTCAAGGGGCGGTAACCCTCGAACCTCCTGGTGGACACCGGTGGTCAGGGAAGCCGTCCGACTGAAGAAGGAGGCCTTCAGGGATTTGTTATCCCG